TCAAATTTCTCAATTAATTAACAATGGATACTCTTACCTCATATCCTTCGGTCACTAAATCTCAAATTTCTAATATAGATGACAACATAAAATTCAATTCTTTTGGAACCGCCTGAACGTTCACTGGGATGAAACGGGAGGATTTTGTTGCAGCATGTTACGGTGATACTTGACTTTAACGGCGCAGTGATTGACAGTAAACGTTGTGTAACTCAGGAATACTTGGCATTATCGTTGCAAAGACGATTCAATCGTCGAGCCTCGATAACGACGAAACTATTGCTTCCTTCTCATATAATTTCGAATCAGATAACGAGTGTCAATTGTGGACCCTACGCTCGCCAAGAATCTCATACATTATCTAATTTCGTAACCGCTCCAACGAGCAACGTTAAAACTCTAACCGTTCGTAATTTTTAATTCGCGTAATTCAACGAGGATACCTTGTACATAACAATGCGCATCTTTGTGTAATTTCTATTTTGTGCGCTGTGGTCGACGAAAGAGAGAGACGAGAAGATTTCCAATTTAGAAAATCCTTCCACTCGTTTATATAAACGGGCTCCTGAGAATATCTAAGTTTATATGGTATACATCCTGCGATTATTTATAGTGATTTCATCTAAGAGAAAAGAATTCATACATAGTTTCTTTATGAAGAAATACTTCTCAAGTCACCTAACCTCTTTAACCCCCTTTGTTCCCTGGCGGGGGACTTTGTAAGTCCGGTCGATTTTTTCGTGCTATTCTTTTAATTAAACGCTTTGAAAACCTATTATGGGCTTTCCAAGTCTATTTCTATGGAATTCGTTTTTAATTGTTAGGTGGCAAGCTTTTTTTATGTTTTATTTTAAGGTTAATGTGGAAACTGTAGTCCCCCAATGTTTCACCCACTATGTGTTTGTTTCGTTTCCAATTTAATTTTTTTTTAATGGTGTCTTTTTTTAATTTTTCCATTGCTTATATTTTATGTAATATATAGGCTTTTCTATACCACCTTATATATGTTATAAAGTATATAACCTAATATGGAAAAATCGGGGTGGAACGGCTGGGATTCGAACCCTGGTTCTCAGCGTGGTAGTCGGCTATGCTACGCACTGCTCCACTGACCATTCCCACAAGCTTCATTTCTTTTGGAACTTTTTACAGACAACTCCATAAGATGATATAAGACTAACGGACGCACAGATTTAAAAAACTTTTGAGAAATTCAGCAAAGGGTTAAGAATTTGTAAAATGGCCCTCTGAAAGTCTGTTTAGGTGTTTTATGTAGTATAAGAAATATTAGAGAAGAATTTACAAGGGTAGTTTCTTCACAAATAATTTTTCAAGACGCCTATCTTTTTAGGAATCTCTATTACTCCATCAATTTCACAGTGTACTTTTATCAGACAAGTCGAGCGACGATAAGGAATCGTGACTAGATATATGTACATATGTATACATATATGTACATTGTAGTATCGCACCCCATACTTGACAATATGAAATGAAACGAGAACACGAAACGTTAACTACGGGATTGGTCTAGTAGGTAAAGCGGTGGGCTGTGGGTCCGAGGGTCGTGAGTTCGAGTCTCCTCTGCCTGACTTATTTTTCCTTTATATTTCTACGCTATAAAAGCGTATAAAAGTGCTGAATATATCAAAATTATTCCACCTTTTTCTCTAAATACGAGTTTCCATGCAGCGATGATACAGTAAAAATTGTGTTGACACATTTCTCAATAACCAAGAATCATAGATTACAAACATTTCTGATACAAAGAAAAAGTTTCACAAGATAGCGTCACACGCTATCTAGATTGCTAAGCATGACATAGCTCTAAATAGAGACCTTCGTTCGCATGACACACATGATATACAACAGTTAACGCTCCACGACACACTCTAATTGCTTCTCACAGTGCACTTCTTTACTCGTTACGACGCAATCGAACGTTCCTTCACGCCAAAGTTGACTTTCACTGTTCGTGAAAGGTTTCCAGTCTGAGGAAAACCATAAATAAAGGGCATTCACTTGCACGGTTTCAAATGTGTGCGTTTTACAAGAAAAACGTCATCGACACCCGTAGTTCTTCCTTATGAACCGCTCTCTCTTTCGTTGTCCGCGCGTTATTTTCATAATTCAAGTAGGAATTTATTTTATTGCCTCAATAATATTCATTACTAACCCTTTGACTGCGAAATGCGTATATAAGCCCTAGAGAAATGGGCTTAGAGAAATGTTACGTTCGTTAAATCAATTTTCAAAAAATATCAGCTTATAGGGGCTGGTGAAACGAAACTTTTTTCTATTTACAGTTAATTCATAGGGCGTTTAGTTTCGAAAATAAAAATTGAAAAGTTAAAAATTCATGGCGAAAATTGAATTTCAGGGAAAAAGGTCTTTTAAGTTTTCAATTTTTATCTCAGAAACTAAAAGTCGTATGAGCAAACTGTAAATACAAAAAAGTTTTGTTTTGTCATTCTCAATAAGATGATATTTTTTCCATATTCATCAAATAAATTATTGTTAACTAACGATATTTTCATTTTAACTATTGCAAATGTAATGGAATTCGGTGCAAAAAAGATCTTTTAAGTTTCTAATTTTTATCTCAGAAACTAAACGTCGTATGAATAAATGCTAAATACAAAAAAGTTTCGTCTTTTCATCCCCAATAAGGTGGTATTTTTTTCAAATCCGTCAAACAAGTGATTGTGAACTAACGATACTTTTTGTTTTGCTCATCTTCTTTCACAATGGTGCACTAATGACTGTATCCATCTTAAATACTAGTATCGTATAATTTATCGTTAACAAAAGCATTTATTTATTATGTTATGTATCATCGTTTCTTAAGAAATCGGGAAAATAATATTCTGGGACGAGTTAGAAGACAAAAACCCTATCGTCGTAAAATTAACAATAACTCCGTCGTCTTTCCTACTGTCTTCCCACGATTCCTCTGTTACGTTCGAACATCCACGCTTCGCTAAACGATAGACATGCTCCTCGCGAGAACGCACCTTTAACGTACAGGGTAAAAATCTTATACACAGTCAGTGTAAGAAGTATTCGTGCAGCAACCAATTTAAAATATAAATTAATAAGAAATAAGAGGTTAACATCACAAATAATAATTTGTGAATAAATTACAAATAATACAAAAAAGAAAAAAAAAGAGAATTCTAATTACAAATAATAAATTTTAATTTACGCAAATTCTACTGTAAAAATATGCAGGAACATTTGTCAATTATTTCTTCCCCTAAAGTTTCATATTAAAATAAATCTACGCAGCTGCATTACGAATCGGTTCTTACGCGAATTCTTATTGCACAGTCGATAAACGTCACACGAAACTTTTTTTTGAAAACGTGAAACCTGTGATCCGATTCAGAGACAATCCACACGAAGGGTACGAATATACGAATACAGGGTGTCCCAAAAATGTTGTAACACCTTGAAAGGGGTGGTTGGGGAGGTGATTTGAAACAACTTTTTCCTTAGCGAAAATATTGTCCGAGGCTTCGTTGAGGAGATATTAACGGAAAACACTGACCAATCAGAGCGCGAGGAGGCCGCGCTCCCCGACCAATCAGAGCGCGCGGATACCGTAGGAGCGGCCGCATCAATGGCCTTCGATGCACGTTGAGTCACTTGTTCGCGTACAAGCGCGGCCGCTTAGCTCGTAGCCTTCGCTACCGCGGCCGCTCCACCGGTATCCGCGCGCTCTGATTGGTCGACGATCTCCGTTAATATCTCCTCAACGAAGAGAGAATCCCTTTCAAGGTGTTACAATATTTTTGGGACACCCTGTATACTCGTTTATCAATTAAAGTTTCAGGAGTGATGACAAGGAAGAAGATAAATGCAAATCAATTCGGATTCCTCCGGGTGCCTCGTGTGAGCTTATCGGAAGCAAACAAGTGGTGTCATCCGTTACATAACAGACACCTCTTAGATACCCTAACGATAGCGGCCCAAGTTTAAATGGTTTACAGTATACAGGGTGTCCGAAAAATGTAACAGCTTGAAAGAGGTGGTTCGGGAGGTGATTTGAAACAACTTTTTCCTTAGCGAAAATGTTGTC